GAAAGAGACAAAAGAAACTGTAAAGTTGTTAGCCAAAAATTCTTGAAGAAGCGGACTTTTCATCGGCGCGCTCACGACCCGAAGGCGGGCATCGCCACTGCTCGGCTCTCAAGCCACGCTAAGAGCAAAGTATAGCCTTTTACGGTACAGTATAACTATAGGGTGCGAAAGGGAAGTGAGGGTGAGGAAAAGAGATATCAGGGTGAGGACAAGGATAGAGAGGAATTTGTAGCATAGAGAGGGGAAGGGAGAAATTACGAGAACGATACGGAAGAAAAACCAAAAGAGGGAGCAAGAAATTGAGAGAGAGAAAGTAAGATAGAAGAAGCTAGAAGTAGAAAGAAGTATATATACAGAGAGAATTATATAAATAAAAATAAGCAAAAACAAACAGGACATACAAAAATTAGAAAACGAAAAAAGAAAGAAAGGAATGAACAATGAAAGAGAAAGGTAAATGGAAACAAAAGAGGTCGCCCACCTCTGCTAATTCTTTAGGCTTTACAAAACTAGTGAGAAGCTGTCTTATTTTTAATGGCTAAACTTACCTTTTAATTAGTTAAATGGACATAATATTTGTCGCTTCTATATATTTTTCTCGTGCGTTTCGACGTCCGAAGGAAATTCTCAGCGATAACGAAGAAGCGCACATCTTATCGTCGAGTGATATTGAGATTGCCTAGATGTTCGTGTACAAGGCAGAGGCATTCATTGTTAACACAATTGTTTAGTGCAATAATGGCCGGGTTTTAACATCCCAAAACCACAAAAAGGGGGACGTTCTAATCTAAGGCTCGGGAAATTTTGACGAGCTTTGATTCTTTAACGTATACCTAAATCCCAGTACGATGACCTCACGCATTCTCGCCTTCAAAAAAAAAATAATGCTGGCGTGGCGGCCGGGATTCGATCCTCGGACGGAGTCAGCAGTCGAGCCCCACAACTTGATTATCGGGGTAAGTAGCACTACTACAATTGTTTACCATTGATTGTATGTCATTTTTGGAATGTTTGATCCGAAGGAAATGAGGCGTACCTGATATATATATATATATATATATATATATATATATATATATATATATATATATATATATATATATATATATATATATATATATATATATAATATATATATATATATATATATATATATATATATATATATATATATATAATGTTAGTAGTAGCTCAGTGTTTGTGTGATCGTTAGATATGTCTGCGTGGAATTGCAGTACCAACTCTCGTAAGAAAGCCTTCACAAACTTGGTGATTCCCGAAAGACAGGAAGACTCTAGAAAGACACTAGTCATATTTTATTAGCTATCATGAAGAGGGAATTGTAAGTGCCCGATCCAACCTTCACTACAATTCATTTAAAAACGACAATAAGGTCCTTTATGCTTCATCCTCATCATCATCAGACTGACTACGCTACCTTCAGGGCTTCTCGCATACTGCTTCAATTTACTGGACCCCGGGCGTGCTGCTGCCACATTATCCCCGGGAATCATCTTAAGGGGACACTAAAGAGCAAAACGATTTTCGTCTATTAGTAAAGTACTAATAGAATACTATAAGTGTTCTATTAGTAAAGTACAAATTACGATCCCTCAAACACTGCTTTATCGCGACACGACACTAGGTGAGCGAGAAAACGCGCGAAAAGAAAATGTGGGTGAAGACACCACTTTGAAATTCCCGCATCAAACACCGCGAAGTCGAGGTGAAATTTGATGTCGAAAGTCCAAGTTTGATGGTGTTTACTGGATCCCACGTAGCTTCTCATCGACAAAATTGAAGTACATTGTCATCTGTGGGTGCCATATAACTGGCATAGATATTTTCAAAAAATGTCATGACGCCACGCGCGGAAATTTCAGCGTGAAACTTAAAAAATGAAACTTCAACATTGATTTTTTCTGCTAATAATGAAACAATGATAGCTAGACCTATGTGATGTACAAAGTCATTGTTTCCCCTTATCGTACCCTTAACCTCCAAAAATGTGGAGGTGTGGGCTTATTGCTTGACAACGATTAAAAAAAACAGCGTGAAGTAACACAGGACACGCCAAATCAGTGCTGTGATTCCCTTTCTGCGTGTCCTGAGGTATTTCGCGTTGTTTTTTTAATTGTATTTGCCCACCTAACATGCCTCCCCCTGGCCTTCCCTTGGAATAAAGTCTGCTACTTTTTTTTTTAACTAGTGGGTATCCTGCCTTGTCGCTACGTGCCCCTCCAGTGCCCATAAATTCAATTTCATGCGAGGGGTTTTTATTCTGGCAGAACATACTCTTTTGTAATGGATTTAAAACGTTCAACGAGCTACTAGTTAAGAAATCCGCATTGTGTGACACCAGCTTGTTGTTTTATTCGTCACTACTCTGTGCGCCCTGCCACCAGCCATGCCGTTGTACTTCAAATCTTCTGCGAGAAAGGTGGCGCCGTCTATTAGCAAATGCTGAAGTATTTATAAACAAAGCTACCGTTTTTGCCCCAAAGATGGTGCGAAACGCCCAGCGCTCACCCAAAGGGCGCCAAATTTATTAAACCTTCTATTGCTTCTAACTAACGGCGCTAAAGAGCTTTCCTAAAAGAACATCGAAAATACCGTTTTGAAGGATCCCATCTGCTAAAGGATCAAGCTTCCAAAGGCCTCTCCAGCAAACTCGCAGCTGTAAATAGTGCAGGGAAGTGGTTCCGCGAAGTCGCGCCAGTAGCAAGGCGAACCCTACGATGGAGCGCGCTACGAGCATGGAGGAAGGAAAACAGTATTTCCGTGGCTACGAGATCCTGGAAGCGAAGTTCGGGTGCTCTTCAGCAGATGCCCTTACAGACGTGCTGCATGTAAAGTGCCTCGATGCCCACTCGTCTGATGTGCACTCCTCCGGGGGCGCGCGCATCAAGCCACCCTAGCTGCATTTGAAGCTGCAGTGTCTTTCATGTCCTTCTTGTCTCTGTGTCGTTGTTTTGTTCTCGCGCTATAACTATCGTCATGCAGTAAGGGGCAGCGCGAGCACTGGCGCAACGTCGGCGTGGCGGCCGATAAAAACGGAGCATTTGACTCGATAACAGATATTCTCGTAGCTATTTTGATTTAGGGAGTAATTCCGCTCACGTTTTTTGATCACACAGTTTGAACCGTGAAGGAAGCCGGAGTAAAGAACATATGAACCTGTCAGACCGGTAGCTAAGAATTTGTGCAGCTATACTGTGAAGAACGTTGCGTAACAAATGCGCATAGTAATGCAAGTCCAGTTATAGTAACGTCGCAGTGTAATCTCTATTCATTAATACACTGCACAGTCTAGTTTTATGGCATCATGCTTGTACTAAGCCAATGGGATGTTATAGAAAACAAAACAAAAAAATAATAAGAAAGGGGAAACAGCAGACGGGCTCGCGCCTCCTCGTTTACACTAACCGAGGGGACACAAGTCTCAGAGACGTCCGGAAAAGTGCCATACGTTCAATGTCCGGTGGACTTCAAAATGATGTCTTCAAAAGGAGTTATAAAACATGTACTTACCGGAATATATGGAATGTGGAAATCGGAATTAGCAAGTGAAATATTGTTGTAGGGTTGTGGGTGTCACAATGCAGTGGTGTGCAAAGAAAAGGATGATGACATGTTGGCGTTCGACAAATACGACCGCCGCCATCTTGACTGCTGGACTACTTTTCTGCTGTAAAGTAATGAATATATCCGCAACTATATTTCTGGGCTGCTGGCACTTTTTTTTTTCTTTTGCTTCGCATTAGATTACTGTAACTTGAACGCCCTACACAACTATGTACAACCAGGACTCTTTCCCAGCTGCGACATTGCAGTAGGCCTCCCATATATAGGAAGGCCTTTCAATCTCGAAGAAACATAAGAGCTTCATGATATATGTTGATTCTCCAAAGCTCTGCACATAATATATGAGATAAACTGAGACGTTAACTTATCCCTCAAATCTCACAAGCAATGATGGCACGGCATCCTCTATATAACGTATTTTGTGCTATTTGAAAAGGTCTCCGGGTATGTTTCGTATAACTTTGGCACATAAAAAAAATTCCCCTGAAACATCCTTGAAGAATCCCCTGGAACACGTGTCTTTTAAAAAAGTATTTTGGCCATCTTGCTGACTTTTTCTGTTATGCCAGTCGTACAAAATACAAACAGCTAGATGGTGATGCATAACTGACGGAGACATATTGGCAAAAAAATAAATCTGGCGACCTCAAAAATACGAGGGCACACGCTACTGACGAATGTTTATTAGCAAAGGAAGGTTTCACATATGCGTATATACTTTTCTCACGCACGCGCTAAAACGATTAAATGAACACGTATATCTGAGGCAATTGCGCAGCAATTGAAATTCGGGGTCCAGCAAAGCGATCGTCGTACTCAGGGTAGTATCAACAAGCAAGTTATGTAACTCCGCAAATGCACTTCTCCTTGTAGACAACTGCGGAACTTCCTAGCGATTGTAAAGAGAGAGAACGAATCAGTTAAGTACTTGATTTATCAACTCACTGTATGACCCATAGGGGATTAAAATTAATTCGATATGCGTTGCTGCTGCTTCGTCCTCAATCTTCTTGTTCTCGCATTGGTAACTAAACAACAGATTTAGTTTCGCTTCATTGCACAAGAAGGCTTCGGTGTATCGCGTCTGCGTCAGAAAACTACTTCCTTAAAACGAGAGAGGAAGAATGCACGTCTTCCAACAGAATAAAACATCGAAACTAAAGACATTTGCTACATCGCTAGCTCTGTTCTGAAGTGGTCCGTTACACACAAGTGTGACTATAACTAAATGCTGCTGCTAATTAATGACAAGAAGGTGCAATGAGCGAAAAGATTCAAGAACCGATTTCTTAATTGTCAGATACGTCAATGGCGCGAAGAAAATAGCGGCATTGCATTGACGCTCTCGAGGCGGTATACAGCTTTAGCGACTGCGTATGTCTGCTTCACAAATCCAATATGTAAGATGCACTCACCGGTGTGTATGTAGGTGTGCTTCTTCATGTCCGACTTCTGGTGGAAGCGCTTGCCGCAATACTCGCACGGGTAGGGCCGCGTGTCCGAGTGGATCAGCAGGTGCGTGGACAGCGTCGAGGAGCGCTTGAACGTCTTGCCGCACTGCTTGCACTCGAAGATGCGGCTGGGGCCTGTGCGGTGCAGCTTCTGCCGAGGCTCGCCCGCCACAGCCGGAACCGTTGCGCACAGTCGCCGCGACACGGGATCGTAACCAGCTGACAACAGCAGGGTACCCCGAACTGGCGGTAGCGACTCCGGTGATGACAACCTTTCGTCGCAGTCGGGCACGTCTCGCAAGGAGCTAGAAAGCCAGGCAAGCATTGAGGTGGGAAAATTCATACTTCGGGAATACATCGAACTATAGGAAACGCGCCTGACGACTACTTCCAGACAGAGCATCAAGAAATATTTGCGGCGTCGAGAGCGAGGGGGTCGAGTCTTTTGCGCGTGAGCTTGTACATGCGCATATATATATATATATATATATATATAATATATATATATATATATATATATATATATATATATATATATATATATATATATATATATATATTGTGTTTGCAGAAATATGTCCAATATTCTTGAAAAATCGGGAAAGACGCTTTGCTCGCTGTCTTTTTCTATAGTGGCAGGCATCTTAAGAGAGTTGAAGATATTATTTGGAACGGCAGTTAGGAAAGTTCAAATAATTCACTTTTTGCTTGTGGAGTTAGGCCGTTAAGTAAAATGAGATAAATGAAGTTTAAGCGAAAACCCGATTTCCGCTTTGAGACTTCGGAAAAGTGGCCACTAGTAATAACTACGGATTGATGAAAGTCTCCCCAATTCTGCGGTGAAACCGAAACGCGAAAGAGCGCAACTGAAATTAGCGAACGTTCTTATATCAACCATCAACCGACTTCGTTGTGAGGGTGTGTGCTGCGTTCCCAATCACAGTACGCATGATGCATATACATCATCGAACGGCGAAGCACTGCATCCCGGTAACTGTTTTGAACAGTGACGTCATTGTAGTTGTCTGTTTGTTCTGCTCTTTGGTACACTGATTTCGGTGTCACCGTAGAATTTAGGAACATTTCATTAATTCGTAGTTATCACTAGCAGCCGCTTTTCTGAAATCTCAAAGCGACAATGGGTTTTTTTGCATCAAGGACTTCAAGTCTTCTATTTGACATAACTACCAAACTCCACATAATTAAAAAGTTAATTATTTACCTTTCCTACTTATTATACCAAATGATGTCTTCAACCTTCTTAAGAGACCTGCCGCTACAGAAAAAAAAACACTGTGACTGTGAAGACAGCAAACAAATATTGTCTTTAGCTGATTTTTAAACAATATTGAACACATTTCTTGGAACGCCTTGTATAAGCATTCCATAATCAAAATTCTAAGGGGAGGGGCGTGCCTAGCATCAACCCTCACCTGCCCCCTTTCACCTCTTCTGACTATGACAGACGGAGCAAGGACAAGGACAGTGAGAGGTATGACACGGGTGGTAAGTCGTCACTGCGCGTAATGAACCAGACACAGTGCAATGCTTCAACGAAGCGTATATAACCTTCTAAACGGGTCTGTGGTTCATTTCACAAACTTTTATTCGCTTCTGCTGTTTGTCATAGCCTGGACACCATAGCTAACAAAAAGCCAAAATTTTAGCCTAGGCTAGAAAATTATTTCTCTACATTGTAAGTGCTCAAACAGCAAGAAAGAAAGTTTAGTACGTTTACGTAGCTAAACATCACACATCAGATCGGAAAATTTCGCAGCATGTGCATTGTGCTAGGCAAGTGGTTATCAATAACGAAGGGGGGACTTCAGGGATGCTGCCGCTGTAAATCATTGCCGTTAATTCTATAGGTGGACGTTCGATCTTGAAGCAGTGACATTTTGCAAAAGGTTAATCAAACCAGATGGGTAACATATGCGCGTGCTTGCGCTGTATGTGCCCATGTCGAAAATAAGAAAAAGACCTCGTAGCCTTATTTTCTGTTTTAGGCACGAACTAAGTCAAACATGGCCACCACAAATTTTGCCTCGATTAAATAACTGACCAGCTCTTCTCAAAGTGGTAGCGCTGGCTTAGCGCGTGTTGCCTATTCCGCAAGCAGTATAAATAGCTCGTGCGAAAACTGAACTTCTTTCTTTTATTTTACAAGTAGAAATTAAAAAGCGCGCAGATTTCGCAAACTTCTCTTTGCAAAATATACTGCATTACAATGCGACGGAACCCTGAAAGTGCTACTGACGTCAGCAGTGCTGCCTACGCGGTGCAAGAGTCGATAACCATAGCTTGACCATGATTTTTTGCTGCGATAATAAACAATTTTCAGCAAAATTATCAGAGCTTACCAAATGCATAGGCCAATATAGTGCTTTAGGAGTGTTTTTCGTCACGCCATTCTAAGTTACCTACTTTGAAGCTCACCTTTTTTCCGTTCCTCCCATACATCTACAACACTAACCAATTTTATCTTCATAGTGTACAGTATTGAATACACTGTATCAGTGCCACCAGTACAAAGGTAGGTACTATGCATGTGTATCCATAAGACAAAGAATAGCTGTGTGCAATAAATAACGTCGGCACGAAACCTACAAACATGTTCTTACGTCCCATACCTTGTCTCGTCTGTCTTCAATCCAAGGAGTGCCTGAATGGAGTAGTCCGTGAGCACGTTAGACACGCTTTCACTGGATTCATTACAAGAGGGAGAAACGCTTGGGCTTCTCGAAACTTCTGCGAATGAAACAAAAAAATATATAGGTAACCTTTCAACACCAATGATATCACATAGTTCGTTTCGACCAAGCACAGAAAAAGGTAGCCACCCTAAAAATACAGTAAAGAGATAGTAGACTGATACCCTTATTTAACGTAGCTAATTATTTAAATGAACTTAAACTACTTTTCGGTACTTGCACAACGTTTATACGTTCTCTCAGCGACGTCACCCGGTGCAGTCCTGGTGCTTGGGTCCTAACGCGGGACTAACGAAGGTTAGTCCAAAGTTAGTAGTTGTTACTTTCCAACTTAAAAATATTATACAAATCGGTCACTGATGCAAAGCGCCAGCTTATTCTTAAGCGTAATGCAGGTTGTGTTTTTTTAGACAATATATCTTTTTTATCAATCTTCCATAATAATCAGGATTTTGTCGTTTTCACACATGACCTCTATGTCGAGACGGAAATACTTCTACACAGCTAAAATGCCGTTGACGCGACTAGACAAGAAAGATTGTTAATTTACTTTTATAATTGACGTGAGTGCAGTTGTTTAAATTAGAAAGTTGAAGGTTATAACCACTTTTGGAATACCTATTTTTTATAAATCTCAAAAGTAAGGAGTAGTTCGAGGTATTTGTCACCGAATTTCAAAAACAAAATCGAGACATATGCGCTCGACACGCACGAAGCGCGAGCATTCTGTTACGTCAGACTGAAACTGCCTGTGACGGGGATGTGACGAAACTTGAATCAGGCTGGGCCGAAGCATAATCTGGATAGGAAAATTGGCAAGCATTCTGAAATACACATGTAGACAGCATATCGTTCGCGTGTAATCTGTAGCGCTTGTCTCTTTGTCGAACTATAAAGATGCATGAAAAACTAGTTCGCCTGCCAGCAAGACACAGCATCGCATTGGCTGTTCCTGAGTATTATGCTTCCCAGGGAAAGAAAAGATATTGTGTGTTTTTTTTTTCACACAGCTCCCCCCACCCCCACCCCCCCAAAAAAACGAATGAGCCCCAAACACTACAAAAGTAAGGCGATGTGCTGGCCCACATGTAAGACTACTTGCAGATTTTCACGCAAAGATACGGCCGCGGCGTTTTTTTATTCAAATTTCGTCACTTATTTGTGACAGGTAGTTCTGGCACGTCACAACGGTCTCACTTCGTGCGCGCCGGGCGCGATCAGGAGTGTTTTCACCCTCAAAATGAGATAACCAATATCTCGAATTTTGTGCAACTTTTGTGGATTCTAAAAACTGGGTATGCCGAAAATTGGCACGCACTAAACGTTAGAGTAAGATCAGCTGTGCTCAAGCCAATAGTTAGATCGTTAATTAACATGTTTTGTTAATTAGTCGCAACAGCGTTATTTTTCCTTCGACGTGCATTTTGTGTGCTAAAACGATGGGAGCTTTATTGTCATAAGATTTTTGTGTAAAAATCCTTGTTTTCCAAAAAAAAAAAAGTGTAGTGTGAGTATTCGTGCCTTATTGAGGAGGTATACGGCAGCTCTTGTGCTCACAGTGACATCTGGTAACGGCTGCAATTTCAACCAAAAAGCGAGTAAACTGGGGCTGCAATAACCTGTCATATTCCACATCACTACTTATCGAGAGCTCTAATGCCATCATATTAGTTAATTGCAGTCATTTTACTACTTTCCTTTTACTCGAACAATAATTATTCCGATGTATTGTAGTTTCACAGAGTGTCCTACAATGTACACAACCTGGCTACGGCCATCAATGGCTCCGGTATGTAACTGAATAACCTTTATATGATAGTAAGCTTCCACTTAACGCAGAAATCAACGCTGTAACTTGCGGTGTGTTTTGTGTGATCTGTGCTTGTTGCAAGTTTCGTAGCGCTATAGTTATTGGACAGTCAGCGGTATTCATTTATTTATTTATTTAAAATTCCTTACAGGCCCTTTTACAGGGCATTGAGTAAGGGGGGTAATTGGTGAAGTTTTACAGATCACACAAAATTAATTCACGCGTTACAAAGCGTATCAGCACAATGAAAATATGACGCGGTTCGCAATATAAGTTGAAGTTAACAGGCGATAACAAGAAAAAAGAAAAGGCGATTTCATAGTGCACACACGACAGTGGGAACCGAATACAGTCATTATAGCATATGAAGGCGACATCAACCAAAGATAGCCAGCTGGCTTTACCTCAACGACGTGCCGTAATTTGTTTATAAGTTGCAGAACATACAATAGAAAAAGCACCTAAAAACGCAGAACCGATGCCCATACACAGAAAACATTTCCAGTGTGCAACAAACATAATCGGGCACAAAATCCGACACTAAAAAAAAAAGCGTCCCTCATCGTGGTGTAAATACTAAAAGTAGCACCCGCATTTTCAAACTACGTTAGCCACATTCTGACAAACTTGGTATTGGAACTGCTCATATCACTTTTTAAGCTAGAAATTACACTGGGAGTCGCATAGCATCACTGATTAGCACATGTACGCAACCTGTATACTGTAAAAAATTATCTCGCAAGTTGTTGAAGATAAGCGCATTATATTATCCCACTGACCTTCATCACTTTGAGGAGCCGGCCACTTGAAGTCCGAGAACCTGTTGCCTGTAGTACGCACTGCAAAGACAAAAACGGAACAAAATGGAAAGTCAAATTTTCCATTATTACAAATTTATTCGTTCAATACTGAGCATTTCACTCTTACAGTCATTACACTTTTGACGCATATGCTAATGGCATTTGAGTTGTTTCTGCCAGTGACCCAACGCGTAGGAACCTTGTTTCATGCCTGACTATTCAGAACTCTGTTGCCGGTAATTTCGCTGCATTTCTGGCGGCTAAGCATCACCGGCACTGCCGAGCTACTAGTGTATCATAACCGTTGGGATTTTACACAACTATGAGGGACGCTGTAGTGGAAGGTTCCGGTTATTTGGACCACATGAAGTTATTTGACGTTAACGTAAAGCTAAGCACACGGGCCTCAAGTATTTTCGCCACCACGGGAAATGTGGCAGCCGTGACCTCTGGGCCAGAGTTCGAGCACCACCCCCCCCCCCCCCCCCTGGACGCGCTATCGACGTCACCCTTTATTGGGCTACATTCAAACGGCCTGGGTCAGATGCGTGTTAAACGCACGCACAGTGACACATAGTAGACACGACACATAGTGCCTCTCTGCGTGCGCAATAGATGATATAGTTTCTATAAGTTTTTAGCGCCACACAGTTTGAATATGTAGCAGCTCACTCAAACCAAGCTTCTGCTATTGCAGATGCGTTCTATTTTTCAGTTGAATTCGTTTTGATTTCCACCTCCCTCATTGATATTGTTATATAAAGTGCATAAACACACTCTGTTCCCAATTTTGAACATGATAGGTAGTAAACGTCAAGACAACGTACAGCGCTCAGTAGTGGTATAACAGTGCAGCGTTAGCATAGAGATGAAAAGAAGTTCGATGGTTTGTCTTGAATTAATCACACACGCTGAACTATGAACTCCGAAAAATAATATTTGCTGGACACGCGTTTTCTTGAATGTAAGTATGCTTTTTCGCCTCCTTGTTCGAAGTACCTTTTTCAATTCAACAAAAATTTGCCTACCGCAAACAGTGAGGAAAAGCGCAAATGCCATCCATTTGCCGTACTGCACCTGTCTCTGATTTCTGTGACGTGAAAGCCACTTTCAAGATACGCGTGGCCAAAGGCTTCTGAAGTCTTCTAAGTACACATCAGTGCTTGTAGCGAGGCACCTCTGGAAGCAGCCGCTGAACGCTGTTGCACAGCTGTAACAGACTATACTGCTGGCAGCATTGCTGCAATCACCACAACTTGGTCGTTCAGTTTAGTCATTGTGTGGTGGATACTAGAGACAACACAATTACTGCACATATTCTTGAAAAGCTGTGCCGTAAGTTGTCCTTGACAGCGGCTTTCAGAAAGCCCGGTCTCATGGTCAACCCTTCAGAGTTTGTCTTGGCCGTCCCTCAGGGTGGTGTACTGAGCCCCGTGCTATTCAATATAACACTAATCACTCTCCATACGCACCTACCAAACAATATTTATCTATCAACATACGCTGATGACATCTGCATCTGGACATCTGCGGTAACTCGTCTGCAGTTACGAGCGAGAATACAGAGAGCAGCTACTGCAACTGCTTTGTATCTACGCAATCGAGGCCTGGAAATTTCCTCCGGAAAATGCGCTCCTCTGGCATTTACGCGCAAACCCATGTCGAATTACAGACTGTCAATTAACGGTCAAAATATACCGTATCGTCGATCTCACAAATTTCTGGGTGTCATAGTCGACAGAGACATATCATGGAGCCCTCATGTGCCGTATTTGAAAAAGCGATTGACAGACATATACCGTCTTTTCAAGTTTCTCGCTGGAAAGACTTGGGGAATGCAGCCTAATGCTATGTTACGACTCTACAGGGTGCTTTTCCTTGGCTTTTTACGATACAGTCTGCCTGCATTATCAAACGCCAGCAAAACAAGTCGACGCATGATACACAGCGTTCAGGCACAGGCGCTTCGAATATGTCTAGGTCTGCCTCAGGGTGCCTCAACAATGGCGACTATAGCTATAGCCAAAGACCACCTCGTGCAGACCCATATTGAAATTGAAGCTTTGAGGACACACATAAGGCATGTGGGCCGGACTACCCATCACCACCTAGCCTCTCTACCAGCAGATAGACCTCATACTTCCTTTTGTCGAACAATAACTACACATGGTGACTCCCTACCAACTGGTTTTACGCTCGCGGCGAGACCTTCAATTCCTCCATGGTGCCTCAAACAGCCAGTCATCAACATGATAATACCAGGCATCCAGAAAAAAACGAGATTTCTCAATACCAGCCCTCAAGCAGCTCACCTAACTTCTACTGTACGAGAAGTACCAAGACTGCACCCACGTCTACACCGACGGCTCCGTCCTGCCAAACAGCTAAACCGCGGCGGTCGTTATTCCAACGCACGCCACAACCATCAAATTCAGGACAGCTCATGCAACCACAACAACTGCAGCAGAGCTTGCAGCGCTTCGCGCTGCGCTGCGTTTCATTAACGACCAAAGCACGCAATGGTGGACGATTTTCTGCGACTGCAAGGCGGCACTGCAGTCACTTCTGTCAAATCTACGCCGTGGTCCACACGAGCAGTTGGTATTTGAAACAGCAGAAATGCTACAAGATATTACAGACAAAGGGCACCACGTTATATTTCAGTGGCTGCCAAGCCACTGTGGAATTATCGGTAACGACCGAGCTGATCAAGCTGTCCGTTCAGCCCATACAGAAGACAACAACCAGTCAATACCTCTCTCAAGGACGGACGCTGCTAGGAGGCTCCGCATGCTTGCTCGCCAACGCTCCATGGCTCTTTGGAATGAGCCTCTCTTTACGCATGCGAGATTACGATCCCTTGATCCAACGTTAAGCATACAGCTTCCAACAAAAATTCGACGAGGCGACGCTACTGCTCTGTGCAGACTATGGTTGGGAGTCGCGTTTACCCGTGCGTACGCGTTCCGCATAGGTATGGCCGACACCGCCGACTGTGCACACTGCGGAGATGAAGAAACAATTCGACATATCCTGTGTGACTGCCCGAAATACAACCTGGAAAGACAACACCTTTCTAATAAACTAAACAGGTTAAATGACCAGCCGCTGTCAGAAGAAAGTATACTGCACCATCGTCATGACTTATCGTCACAGAAGAAAGCCGTGCAACCGCTACTGGGCTTTTGACGAACTACTGGCCTGTCGGAACGCCTCTGAGTGGACTGATTTTGTGTGTGCGTGTGTGTCGGTGTTTTTCTCTTATTTATTTTTTAACTCTCCCTTTCTCTTTCAACCCCCTATTCCCCAACCCCAGTGTAGGGTAGCATACCGGATTTTAGCATCTGGTAAACCTCCCTGCCTTCCATTTTCCTCGTTTCTCTCTCTCTCTTGTCTTGGCCGAAGGTGCCTGCTGCTGACAGCTGTGTTGGTGATTTGGTTTATGCATTTTAACGTCGCATGATGACTCAGTCTATTAAAGACGATGTAGTGGAGCACGTATAGTATAATTTTGACCACCTGATATACTTTACTGTGCACTGAAGACCCGCAGTACATGGTTCTCTAGCATTAATTTCATCTCCATAGAAATGCTCTCATCGCGGCCGCACTGCTGTGTTAGTATCTCGGTGGATGTAACTGTGGATATATGTACGAAATTTACATGTGTATTTTGTGTTTTTGCCCAATCACCTTCCCAGCACGCGCAGAGAAGGTGACCATGTTGTGATTTTTTTATTCAGTGACACGTTCTGAAAAATAATGTCTAATCAATGTACAAATGTTCCACCCACCGACACTTGTTCAAGTGTTACCGATGTTTACATTAATCATATGGTGGTTTTGGGACGTTAAACCCCACATATCGATCAATCAATCAACCGATGTCTACACAACCAGTTGTTTGCACTTGCTCAACGAGACCAGCAGGGACATGTGTATTAGCAACACCAGAAGCCTTCGTGGTGAAATGCTATCTTTTACTTCATTAAAATGATTTGTCTGTCTGTCTGTCTGTCTGTCTGTCTGTCTGTCTGTCTGTCTGTCTGTCTGTCTGTCTTTCTTACTTTTTTTTCTGTCTATCCGTCAGTCTGTCCGTCCTTCGAGCTCTTTCTGTCTGTCTGTCTGTCTGTCTGTCTGTCTGTCTGTCTGTCTGTCTGTCTGTCTGTCTGTCTGTCTGTCGGTCTGTCTGTAACTGTCTGTCTGTCTGTCTGTAACTGTCTGTCTGTCTGTCTGTCTGTCTGTCTGTCTGTCTGTCTGTCCGTCAGTCAGTCAGTCTGTCAGTCAGTCAGTCAGTTTGTCTGTCTGTCTGTCTGTCTGTCTGTCTGTCTGTCTGTCTGTCTGTCTGTCTGTCTGTCTGTCTGTCTGTCTGTCTGTCTGTCTGTCTGGTATACTTAAACATGGAACTTGGTTAGTTCCTTGAATGGATGTTTAACTTTTTGGGGAAGTAATGTGCGATATGTCGTCTGGGCTGACATTGACAGTAACGCCCAGTGTGAAAGGTGGCGACAACCAAGCAGCATTAGCAATTGTTTATTTCGGTCGATCAAGCATAGAAGCAGCCCACATTGTACGCGTCACGTATCAATACCTTGTGTGGGTGAGCTGGTCCATCGCGCATAGTTCGACACCCCACTTCGCGGGTCTCAGGCCCATATGGTAGTTCTGCTATGACGAAGGTTTTAGTACGCTTGAAAATAAAATAGTTTGACATACATGGGCGTAAGCAAGATTTTCTTTTTGGGTGCAAACTTGTGTTGCATTGCAACTGAAGGGCAAGTGCTGGCGTAGCTCGAGGCACGCAAGTGTCGGTTTTTCAACCCCCCGGCAGACGGCAATGTCTGCATAGACTCTATTTAAAAACTCATGTGTGTAGCACGACAGATTGGCGTCGGTCTTGTGGTACTTCTTTACAGCTGTATGAGCAACAGCGTGTGCTTACAACATCTGAGGACGTCGAACAGATGACGCTAGTTACGCAAGGAGCGCCGGGGTAGAGAGCATTGGGCGCTCCCAGCAGGTGTGTTACAGTGCATCAC